CTCGCACTCGCACTCGCACTCGCACTCGCAAACTCGTACTGACTCGGCTTGGCTCGCATTCCAACAGCGTCGGCTCCATCTTCTTTGGCGCGTTTGCATTCGGCATCGGCTACGACCTTGCCACCACAGCATGGTGGGACGCACACAACAAGGGCGTGAGTCTCGCTTCTCCTCTGCCACACACCACAGCACAACCGACGCAGCAGCCACTGACGCATACGCATCCATGTTCATCCTCTTCCATTCCCAAACGCCAACAGAAGCAGTGGAAGGACATCCGTGGAAAGGTACGCTGCATTCTACCACCACACTTGCGCGTTTGTACCGCAGCAATGCTGACGCCGACTTGCTTTTTTTTCCCCGCACCAACAGTTCCTCGAGGACTCCGAGTAGATTCGTACCTGCCAATGCCAACTGTACCTTTTGTAGCCGCTCGTGCCGGTTTGGCTTGCATGTAGCCATCGCGGCTCGAGCCTGCTCTGCATCCATCAATACACTCTTGCAACCATGTCGCTGAGTGGAGCCGTGAAGATCTGCCAACCGCATCGGGCATGTAGAACGTCGATCGCCGATGGTCGATCCTGTGCCGATGACTTGCGAAGCGACGGTAACACCTGGACAGCATGAACTGCACTTGCGCAGGCAGGGGATAAGGATCCGACGGGGCCCGGCCCAAGCATGACAATGAGCCAAATTGGCTGAGCGGGTGTTAGTTTGCTGCTTTTGAAGGGCTGCAAGGCAAAGCTGCATCGACGCCAGGGGGCGCCTAAGCGATGCAGCTCGCCAGTGAGTCTCGTCCGCTCTTGCAACACTGCGCCAGCGCTTGGCCGGCAATAAAAATTCCACAGCCACGAACCCTTGCAGCTCTCGATTGGCGCTCGCTCGACCGAGTCGACCCTATATGCCCTCGACATGCCACACCCCCAGCATCGATTGCAAAGCCCCTTGCGCCAGTCGCCATGGCTGCCTGTTGCTGTTGGCCCGTCTGCGCACAAGCCCCCACCCGCCACCATTGCCACCACGTCCACCAGCTACCAACAACGGACAGGGCGGGATCCAAGCATTCGAGGCCGCACGGGACGCCTGCGCCCGTTCCTGGCCAACACTCGCAGCGGGAGCGCAGCAACGTAAAAGAGTGACCGCGCGTCGCTTCTTAAGAAGATTGCATGGGCGCGTTTCAGCAGCTCGCTTGCCATCCATACACTCACACTCACACTCGCGCTCACAGCCCACCACACTCATGCGCAGCACAGGTGGGTGGGTCCCGAATGCAGCATCCTCCTGTTTCGCATACGCACATGGCTGCACTCTTCGGGTACAGCGCAACACGATCCTACATCATGCTTTCCCCAACCTTCCCTGCTCTGAGCCAAAAGAAAAGTAAAAAATAACATAAAAAGATAGTATGGCATGGCAGGCGGCAGTGTGTGACAGCGCCAAGCAGCGACAGGGCAAAGAGCCAACCTCACCATCCGGCCCTCGAGCCGCCGCAATCATGGAGAACCCCCTTGAATCTAAAGAGCGTGGGTACGACCGCATCGTCGTGCATCGTGCCGTTCCTGTGGGTCCACATCCCCCTTCCTCCTGCAGGGCACATCTCACACCTAGTCGCCCATCTTGCAGCTCGCATGGCCACTCACTCACATTCCTCGACGCCTCTCCTCCTCCCCGCCACCGCCGCTGTCACCCTCCCTTTCGCCTGCTCGCCATGCCCAGTCCACACAGAACCCTATCTCCCCTCTCTCCGCCATCCTTTTGCTCAACCCCTCCTCCCTCCTTTCGTTCTTCCCATCACCTTTCCTTCCCTAATCCGTCTCGCTCACTTCATATACGTGCGTCGGCCAGCCCAGCTGTACATCCAACGCACCCTTCGCACACATCACAAACCCACCTCGATTCATTCCAGATATACCCAGATCATCGTGCGATCAACCCACTTTCCGACTGCATTCGCAACACGCTCACGCTTCGACCACAGACCGACCCACTTGGCAAGCTGACACTCACGCTTGCTCCCCACCATCGTTCACAACTCGTCGTCTCGTTCAACCTCGTCTCTCGTCCTACCACGCCCAGCCTCGCCTTTTCGCTCGGCTTCGCCCAATGCTCGCTTGCCACCTCTAAGCCTCTCTCGACCCGAGGACTCCTCCTCGTACACACTCTCCTTTCACGCGCCTTGTCCTCCTTTCACCATGTACTCTGCATACCGTCCAGACTCGCACGATCGCGACTCGCGCGTCCCAAGAGTCGCCTCCAGGGCAGGCAGCATCTCGACCCTCTGGAGCTCAGCAGAGGTCCCCTTCTGCCTCGACCCACGCGTCCACACCGCCGCAGATGCCCCAGACAGCCACCACCACCCCACACGCAACCCCTCCATCTCCTACGGCTCGGCACGCTCCAGTCAGCTCTCCATCGACTTTGCCAGGCTCAGCATCGACATCCCAGACGAGTATCCCAGAAGGCCAGACAGCATCCGTCTCTCCCCGCCCCGCCCCTCCGCCGCCTCCTCCAGCTCAGCGTCGAGCGGAAGCTCCCCGAGCCGAGTGTCTTCGTTCAACATTGGCACCATCGACGAGCATGCGCCCATGCAGTCTTCGCCCATCTCCAAGCTGCCCTACCATCCACCGAGCCTCGCTGCACAGTCTCGCCTCCTCTCCTCGCGCTTTTCGGAAGACACGATTGACGAGCGCCCCTTCATAAACCACTCGTCATCGCATGGGACCTTTGGCCCGCCGCTTAGCGAGCTGCGCAAGGCCTCCGGTCTGTCGGATAACTCGATCGGCGCTTCCTCCCGCTCTTCGTCTTACCAGGATCCCACTCAGCCGACGTCGACAGCGCGTGCCGGCGAGGTGCAACCGGCTAAGCACCTCTACCGTCGTGCCTACCGCTTCTTCGACGAGACCTACACCGTTCAGCCTCCGTCCTCTGCTGACGACCGTCCGCTCGAGTCGATGCCGGGCGCATGCAGCACGAGCCAAACCTCGCGCGATGATTCGCTACCCTCGTGCTCGCGCTCCCAAACCTCCTCCCACGCTACCACCTCGGACTCCGCCTCGGCATCCAGCGTCACCAGCGCAACGGCTCACATGCTCGAGCTCAACAATGCCACGCTCACCCCAGTCTCCGTCCATGGAGATACTACGCTGCTCGCTAAAGCGTATGCTGCCGCATCGGATGATGGTGAGCACCTCAGCATTCCCTCGCTGCCGAGCTTCAATTCGGCGATCACCGCCACCCGCGAGGGGTTCAACCAGCTGCGCGTACGGCCCAGCACCGCCGATGTTTATACTCAAGACCCACCCGTGTCGCCGCTCACGTTTCCGGGACATGCGCTGCCTCTGCAGCCGCAGCCACCCATGCCCTCGCCCACCGACCATGGCAGGTTCGAGGTGCGCTCCTACGGCTTGACGCCTGGCCCCGCGCATCCCACACCGCCTGAGACACAAGCAAAGACCGCCGCCGTAGCCAAGTCGCCGGGCAGGTCGCGCTTCTTGCGCGCGCGCGTGGCGTCCTCGCCGAAACTGCGGCTCGATGCGTCGTCGCTCTTTGCCTCGGCCCACACGCCCGTGCCGCCTCTGCCGACTGCGGCGGTCAATGCAGCTGCTGGCGCCGATGCAGACCGGCGTCCGTCGACGGCGCAGACCGACGGCCGGGCTCCGTTCTTTGGGCGCAGATTCCGCTCGCGCACGCTCGGAGAGTCGGACCGCGTCGAAGCATCGCACAACGCAGTTGCCACCAAGCACGAAGAACCTTCCTCCACCTCCGCTCGAGTGTCGGGCTGGGCGACGGGTGTTGCTCGCAATGGTGGCAAGCGTCATCCGAGCCAGGTGTCGGCTACAAGCTCGGAGCTCTTTTCGCCGCACGATCCGCTGCAGCCCACCCCCGGGTCGTCGATCTGCTCGGCAAGCTCGCCGGCGACCACCAACAGCTCGCTGCCCGTCACGCCGCGTACCACCACCACCTTCCCGCGCCCCAAGAGCCGGGGGACGGGGTCGGCGGCCAAGACGGGTGGATCCGGATGGGCGTCGTATCTCAACGCCGGCCTGACGCTGCATCTCGAACACGAAGGTCGTGTTGTGCCGGTGACGATGACCTACCTGGCGTACGATCCGTTCGGAAGGCCTGAGCAGCTGGTGGAAGGCACAGAAGCTGCACGCGCAATGACGCCCAAGAGGCCCAAGTCGCGCGGCGACAAGGACCAGGAAGCCGAACAGTCCGGTACGCTCGAATTCGGACCACTTGATGACAAGTGTGCACTGGACATCGCACGCAGATCCGACGGCTCGGCAGTGCTCAAGCACCTCACGGTCGGGGAGGATACCAAGGCGGATCTGCTTACGCGCCAAGCAGCACTGTCGGTCAAGATGGGTGTCCACCAGGTGGCCGGGTACGAGCGTAGGGGAAGGCTGGCATGGAAGTTCGCCTACCGCGTAGAGGAGAGTGCGGAGCGACGGCTTGTGCCCGTGCGCTTCTCGTGTTCGGCGACGCTGCTCAATCCCGAGCGTGCGCGCAAATCGCGCTTGATCAATCTCGTCAAGAAGCAAATGGTGCCCTCGCTGGCGTCCAAGGCGGTATCCTCCACGCTCGACTCGCCCCGTTCGGCCTCGCTGCATTTCGATACGGCTTCACCTGCTTCATCCCGGCGTGCGAATACGACGCTGCCAGATGGTGTACCGGTCTCGCCCGTTCGACGGGCGGGTACGACGACGCAGAACAGTCCGCTTCGTCAGCCCAGTCGTGCAGGCGCGTCGTTCGCAAGCGCCACTTCGGCCGATACGAGCTACTCGTCGCAACCCGCCACCCCCGGCCGTGACACCGATGCCGGTAGGCTGCAGTTGCAGGCTTCGCCCGTATCGGCACAGTTCGGACAGCCCACAGCGCGGCCTATGCGAACGATGGCTTCGGTGGCCCCTGCACTGCAGCTGGATCTGGGCGATGCAGGTCACGCTGGCCGTGCACTGCACACCAAACCTTCGTCCAACTCGCTCTCCTCGACCTCAAGCCACGCCAAGCCGATGGTGATCAATGGACGAAAGTTGATCCCGATCAGTCTGCCAGCTGGCCTTGCACGACAGACCAAGATCGATCCGGCACTGTTGCAGGGGCACATTGTTTCGCGCGCCGAGGATCGACAACGAAGCACGTCGATGCAGTCGGCGCGTGGTGGGTCGAGTCGACCACCTACAGCGTCGGAGAGCATCAAGATGGAGTACCTCGCGCGGGAAGAGGGGCTGCGACACCAGCGGTCGTTCGGAGTGCTGGTCCCGTCCGAATTCGCCGATGCGCGCGTTCGCAGGGCAAGGAGTAGGACAGTAGAGGCCGATGAGCGCAGACCATTCACGGCCGATGCGTGGGGAGAGGCACAGTATCCGTTCGAGAACGTGCACAAGGGCAAACAGCCTACCCCGATGCGTGCAGAGGTGGATAGGCAGCAGGGAGGAGAGGCGTACATGCCCCTTTCGGCCCCGCCTAGACCCCAGAGACCTAGGACTGCCCAGACCGTCACGCAGGAGAAGGGCAGGAATGCATACGCTGTACAAAGCGCCCGCCAGGTGCAGGTCGCAAGGTCCTAGGCCCCATCTCATTCCTTGCCGCGCCCGGTAGCAATGTCGACCTTGTGGCACTCTTTTCGCAATAGCCCACTCGGCATGTCGCACTTGTCAAAGTCGCACTCCACTGCAATCTCGCACTCTTTTGCATGTGTAGTGTGCATGTCTGCCTCTTTCTGAGTGCCACGCGCAGCGTGTACGGTCGTAGTTCCAGCCCGCCAGCATGATTCCTCCATTTGGTCATGTAGGCTTTCGCAGTGTCGCACTCGTTTGCATGTCGCACTTGCTTTGCATGTCGCACTCCAACGCAAAGTCGCCCTCTTGTGCAAACCGCATGCTCTGCATGTCTACCTCTTCCGATTACGATCCGGGTGTTGTAATGGTGCGACACGCACACTCACATTGAAGAGAGAGAGGCAAGAATCTGTCTGCCTTCCGCGCGGTCTGTGCAGGTCGCAAGGTCAAAGGTCCCGGCATACCAGCATACCCGTTTGTTGGCATTTCTCGCATGCGCTCTTACGCCGCACGCCGTGCTCGCCTACTTGCTCCTTTGTGCATTCGTCCCGTCTATCGCCAAGGTCCCGCTGTGTTTGCTGAGCTCCGCTGCTTTGCCAACGGTGAATGCTTGGCGCCGGCTTGCAGTCCACTTGCGAGCGCGAAAAAAGAACGTATTCAGGTGCCCAACTCCTCGCCCGAAAGGCGAAACGGCCTGTTCTGCTGCCGCCGAGAAGACTTCACGCAACGACCATGTCAAGATGTCGAAAAGGCCAGCATTGTAGTACGCATTCTGTATTGCAGTCTTGGCCACGCTGGCATCGAAGTGCGAGGGCCTTACTCGGTGGTGGGAGCGGTTGGAGTGGATGTTCCCGACAAACGCGAGCCTCTGGATCCCAACGATCGCCACGATCCGAACGACTTGATCCTCATCCATCGTGGTGAGCTTCTTTGTGCGACGACCAGCTGTTGCGGCCTGACCTTGTCCCACGTGGGGGTGTTGGACCACTGCACGAGTCTTGCCTCCCTCTCGGGGTCGAGGATCTCTGCCAGAACCTCGGTTGGGTATACACCGACGTACCGCAGCTCGGTCGTCAAAGGCACACGGGCGATGTTGGTGAGGATGACCTTTTTATCGGGCTGCCAGGTGTCGAGTGCAACGTAGCGCTTTCCGAAGGCCATCTTGTCAACCGCACGCGGGGCGACGATGTTCTCGCCGCGCACGAGGCGCGGAAGCGGCACAGGCTCAAACGGCGTACTTCGAAAGTATTTGTGCGTGCCGGTGGGGGTGGTGACTACACCCACGGCGCGAACTTTACCCGTGTCGACGGGCGTGGTGAAGAGCAGGGCATTGCCAGGCGCGGGAAGGGTGAACCTGAGACGGCCGCTTGAGTCGGCTCCCGAAATCAAACCCTACACCAGCAATGTCAGTATAAAGCAGGGTTGCGGGGTCAAGAGCAAGGGCTTACGTAGAGTCGTTCGGGGACGAAACCGATGTGGGCACGTTCAGAGGGGGCAACGTGTGGGAATCGTTGGGCGAGAGTGCTCGATACGTCGGTGCGGGCGATGTGGTCAAGCATGCTCCATCCGAGCGAAAAGTCTTTGACGCAGGATACACTCGCGATCAACATTGCCAAGCAGGCTACGAAGAGCAAGGAGCCACGCATCGTGACAGGAGGCTTGGCGATGGCATGGATTCCGGCATCGCTCGATGAGGCAGAGGCTTTTATGGCCCGCCGGTGCGGGTTTGTGAGCAACATGCTGCACGCTTTTGAGCCCGTCGGCGCTACTCCGCCGCGCCGATGCCACTGTATCACGGCAGATGCAGCTGAATCACGACGGTGAATTCATCTGCATCCCGTCGGAACGACCAAGCATCGTTCCCACGTGTGGCGACATGAAAGGACAGACATCGGCAACCGGTTGTACCCAGCACCCCACGGGCGACCCACGATGCAATCTGACGGTGCGCATCGGTGTGAACAAGCCGGCACGCCAAGCGGGCTGAAATGAGGACGAAAGGCTAAAAGTACAAGCAAAGGCAAACAAGGATGGGAAGAGAGCGGAAAGGGACTAGAGGACATCGTCGAGCTTGACGGGCATTTCGTCGATCTGGGTCGAGTAGAACTGCTCAATGTCGCGGAG